CAAACCAACGTCATTTGCATTGTTGCATTTTTATTCTTATTGTTTAAATTTTTTATAATAATATCGGGAATTTTTGAGCTGCGTAGGTAGAACTTACACCTGAGATTCTAGAGGATCTGTACCATTTGATTAAGAAAACTGTCACAATAAAAAAAGTATTTGGAAAGGAACAGGAAGGACAAGATTCCAAGTTCAGGTTGATCCTAGTGGGGAGAGGGATTCAGCTCTTGGACAGTTACTACAAGAAAACGAAGAAGCTTCCTCCCAACTGGAATTAGTATGCACTCTCATCCCCCTTTCTGCTTCTTGAATTTTTATTTTTAGGCATTGTTGAAGTTTGTCAAATTGGGCTTTTTTTGGTTGATTAATTCCCATTGTTTGATGATTGTATATTTTTTTGAATTGTCTTCATTATGTACTGCGATGCCAGTTTTCGGGTTAGGACTTATTTCTAATTATTTTTAAGTGTTGGGATCTTCCTATGCTTCTCCAAATATCTCTTTGATGATCAGTTGGAGAAAATGGGACATAGATTGTCATTTTGTATGTTGGTTTAGTTCAGCAACCTTTGCATATCGTTGGGCTATAGTTGTTCCTACCAATGTTTTGTTGCGTGTCACCTGATCTGCTTAAATCTCTCTCATCAGCCTATATGATGCATAATTTACAGATCTCATTCTTTGCTCTAGACTCGTAAAAGATTGGCACCCACAAGCAATCATATTCAAATACTTAGGGGCTACTTGTTTCACAGATTGGGATCGGAAATGGAAATGGAATCATGGACTCTAGTTTTGGAATTAAACTTTTCATTCCAATATCTAGTTTGGTTCACACATTGGAATTAGCATCATTCCAATTTCTGATGCTTGGTTTGATGAGTGTTTCAGAATTAAATGCAATTAAATTTTAAATTTACCCTTGATATAACAATTCTTATAAAATAAAAGAATTACACATATGACAAATTAATATTTCCATAATTGTAACTACAATAGTTATTAACTTTTTGATAAAACATAAGAAAATCATAAATTTTAAAAAAAAATTAATACCAGAAAATAAATGTAGTGGCTACATTAACAAGGAGTAAATTCCCAAAAAGAGAGAGTTTTTAAAATAACTTCCCAAAGGGTGGCGATTTTTGAGTCTCTTCCCAAAGAGTGAAAAATACATCCAAGGAATGCGTTCTTCCAAATAAAAACGCAACTTTCAAATACGTTATTTTAATTTTCATAAATTTGTTTAAATATGAAAAATTGGTTAAATAGTACATAACATACCAGCTCTTTATGGGAAACTGGTAGATTTTATAGTATGTTTTGTACCAACTCTTTATGGGAAACATATCAACTATTTATAGGAAAATTGGTTAAATAGCAGCTAAAGGAAAACTAGTATGTTTTATATTTATAAATTAAATATGTGAAAGTCAAAAAAAAAAAAGAAATAGCGCATAAGATACCAGCTCTTTATGGGAAACTGGCAGGTTTTGTAGTATGTTTTGTGCCAACTCTTTATAGGAAACACACCAGCTCTTTATAGGAAAAACTGGTTAAATAGTGGCCAAAGGAATACTAGTGTGTTTTGTATTTAACATAAATTAAATATGTGAAAGTTAAAAAAAAAAAAAAGAAATAGCTCATAAGATACCAGCTCTTTATGGGAAACTCGCAGGTTTTGTATTTAATGCCCATAACTATGAAACTGAAAGGTATTCAGGCAAACAATTTTACAAATAGGTACAAGGCAACCAGAAACCCACCCAAACTATCCCAGTATTCACGGATCAAATAACCAAAATATCAAGAATCGATTGACCCTTTGTTTCTGAGCTTCTATTGAATGCGTAATTCAAGAAAACACAGTGAGTAGTGTGAGTGGAATAAAAGTGAGAAGGTGATGGATCCAGAGCATAGCATTTTGGTCCAGTTAGTGTTATTGTGTCAGATTCCCTTCTTTTCTTTTTTATTTTTAGCTAACCAGTGAATAGCTTGAAAAAACAGAGAAGAAGGAAGAGAAAAGCTTGCATACGGAGAAGAAAATTGCAGAGAAAATTGTAGAGACAACGGAGAAGAAAATTGCAGAGACAACGGAGAAGAAAATTGCAGAGGCAACGGAGAAGAAATTTTGGATAAAAGATGAAGAAGAAGAGAGAGAAAATCTGATGAAGAAGAAGAATAGAAGGTGCTGCGTGTGATGGAGAGAAAGAGAGGGTAGGCCCGTCATAAATATTGTCTGAGGGAATCAGTTGAGAGTTTTGTCTAAAACCTCTCAATTTGCTCCGGAATGAAGGAAGTCCGATTTTTTAGAAATGATTCCAAAGATTGCATTCTAATAGGTTTAAGTCAAGCAATAAATAAAGGGTTTATTCCATTCTGTGATTCCCAAACTCTTTAACCAAGCAGCCCCTTAATGATGATCTCTTGCTTTCGTGCAAAACTGTCAAGCAACTCTTTATTTTGTAGCGTTGGAACCGACCGCAACATAGTTGGAATTCGGAATAGGAGTTTGTGATATGTTTTTGTTTGTTGAGACGAAATGGTCATGGAGTTATTGGCGATTACTTGCATATGTTATCCAAAATTGCGTTGGACCCATTTCTTCGCTTTTGAGTCGAGAATGTGACAATTCTATGATGGTGGAGCCGCTACACTTGACAATATTCTGAATAGTGATGGATGTTGTTTCGGTAATGACTCAACATCATGACTTTTCTTTGTTCAGCTAACATTCCTGTTGCTTTTACCTCTCTTAGACTTAAAAAAAAAAAGACCCAAAATTCCGAGCGTAGGGCCTCAACAATTAAGTTTCAATTTTCTAAGCCAATGTATATATGCTGACACAATGAACTTAGGCACCAAAATAACAATAATATGACAAAATTTGTCCCTTCTTGAAATATGTGTTCCAAACATCAGAAAAGCTCTCCTGCTCAATGACCTTGTTCTCAATTTATTTTCAATTCCTGATTTAAGATTTTGATTTTCAATTTATTGTGTTTTCAACTGCTTTTTTTTATCCTGAATTTGGATTTTTTGAAGCTAAAAAAATTCTAAAAATCAAAGCATCTATTTTGATGGTTTTTTATTCTGATTTTTTAAAATCAATCTTTACATAATCAAAAACCGTTCGGGAACAAGGCTAATACCTCTTAAAAGTAATCCATGGAAAAGATTTAAGACCAAGAAAAGAAAAAGCTAGAAAAGAAACCCCCAACCTACTTAGTAGGGTTTCAAGGGCAAATTAGTCACTTAAAAGCTTAATGGACAATTATGATTAAGACAGCAATTAGTGCTTGATTTATAATTGTCAGTAGGATACTTAAAGAAAAGTTATTGCCAGCTAAGCCACTTGTATTGGGATACGGGGCAGGAGCGGTCCTCCGGCCGACCGCTCCTGAACGGTCTCCTCACAATAAAAAACGTGAGGAGACAAATGAGCCAAGTCAGCAAGGATGAAGTAGGGCAGAAAAACGGCACCGTTCCAAATAAAAAAATGTTGACTTCCAAACGTGAGCAAACGGAAGAGAAGTAGATTTTGAATTCAAGTTGAAATTTTGAATTAGTCGCAGAAAACAAAACTGAGGGAAGAGTCTTGGCGTGCTTCTGAAGGAGCTCTACTCTGACAGTCTGACCGACCGCTCACTGAAGGTAGAAAGCTGAAGTTCGAATGAAATTCGACCTACTAACTCTTTCTAGGTGAAGTGGGTGTAGTCTATTCTGATGAAAATAGCAATTGACAGAAAAGTGGGTGGAGAGGCAGGCGGCAAGGTAGAAGCAAACAGAGATGAAGCCAAAGTTTGGACGGAAAACTGAATAGCAGAAGCAGCTGTGGTCTTCAACTGGGTATAAGAGTATTGTATCTATTTTGAATGCGCGCAAGGCAGGCGGTAAGGTAGAAGCAAACAGAGGAAGGACAAAATCTCACGAAGCCAGACTTTGTCCTTCAACTTAATAGCAGAAGCAGCTACGCTCTCCGACTTCGGTGAAACGTGAAGCGTATTAGCAGACCAAGGTAATATGATTGAACCATGTCAGTAACTGTGGCCAATAATTTGTCACCCAAATGCACATCTGTTAAATGAAGGATGAAATTACAGTCATTGAAGACATAATATGAAGATGATAGAAGAATAGTGAAGTTGTACTGTATTTGCATGTGTGTACCGTATCTGTGTGTGCGTGACCATTTAGTTTTTCAGTGATGGACTATAAAGGGATAGTAATTTTTGGAAGACCTAGGGGTATGTATTCAAGTAAACCATCAAACGGAATTAGGAAAAGATGAGAGAAACAAAGTCACATTTAACAAGTGAATGAATGTACATCTTGTTGTAAATTAGTTACATGTTATAGCCACCGTATTACAATTGATATGAATCATTGTGCATCTAGTAATTGGTCCATGCTCATAGAGTAATATTAGTTTGCCTCTCTCTTGACTGTGTAGTGTGTATAAAATAGAGGTGTAGAGTTGAATGAGGTGAAACTGAGAAAAAGACATATATGTGAATAATAAATGGGTGAACCTTGTATTGTAAGTAAATTATATGATGTAAAAAATATATTACAATGAATAGAAAGTGATTGTTTGGCCCTCAAAATGTAGAAATAGTAGAAAATGCGGAGTTGGCTTATGCGGTTGTCATTAATGAATGACATAAGATCCAGTGAGCTAAAGAATCTAGAATATAATCACCAGCGTGGATGTACATACAGTTAAAATAGACTTACATCGTGTGACCAATACATTACAATCCGTATAAGTTAGTGTACATGGAGTTGTATTTGTACACAGATTGTCTTAGAGTAAAAGTAAGGTGATGTAAATCATTAATCATATTGATAGCGTAATAATAGAATTTGGTATACGAGTAATGTATGATTCATAACACATTATGAATGGTAATATATATTTATGTTGTCGTTTATGTACATACTATTCATGAAGTGTTGCAAATTAGGGTGTTTGATGCATAATTGGCAGGATCAGAAGTAATGGATTGCAACAAATTGACAGAAGATGGGACCCCTGAGTTAGGAATGGAGTTCAACAGCGAAGAGGATGCATACAAGTTTTACAACAAATATGCCTTTAAAATGGGTTTTAGTGTACGTAAAGACTATCCGAATAAAGACAAAGACGGCGTGACCGCGTTTAGGAGATATAGTTGCTACAAGGAAGGTGTGAAGCGCAAGTACGAAGGTGACGTGATGCCAAAGAGGACACGAGCACCGACGAAAATAGGGTGTGGAGCTAAAATGGTTATCATGTTGTTTAGAGGAACAATGAAGTACCGTGTGCATGACCTTGTCTTAGAGCATAACCATGAGTTGCACATTGCTCAATGTGCGCACATGATGCCATCACAAAGAAAAGTGAGTAAGGCTCAAGGATTCCAAGCTGAAATAAGCGAGGACGTTGGGCTTTCATTGAAACAGAGCCATGAACTTATGGAAAAGGAGGCAGGTGGGATGGAAAATGTGGGATATACTCGGGAAGACCTGAAACGATATCTTCGTACTCGACGGGAAAGGAGTTTGAAATATGGAGAAGCAGGTAGCATGCTGAATTATTTTCAAGAGCAAACACTCGAGAATCCATCATTTTTTTATGCCGTACAGCTGGACTGTGAAGAGCAGATAACGAATATCTTTTGGACTGATGCAGGAATGTTAATTGACTACAAATTTTTTGGAGACGTAGTCACATTCGACACAATCTATAAAACAAATAAAGAATACCGGCCACTTGGAGTGTTTGTGGGTTTTAACCAACATAGGTAAATTGTGATATTCGGTGCTGTCCTTATGTATGATGAGACTATAGATTCTTTCAAATGGGTGTTTGGTACATTTCTAGAAACAATGTGCGGAAAGCGTCCAAGTACCATACTAACCGACCAAGATCATGCCATGGCAGCCGCTCTTTCAGTTGTTATGCCTGAAACATTTCACGGTCTATGTACGTTTCACATAAGGCGTAATTTTATGAAATATCTTGGCAATCATTACAAGAAAAATAGTGATCTTCCATACATGTTTGGTGCATGTATGTATGGGTTTGAAGAAATGGAACAATTCAATAGGGTGTGGGAGGCGATGGTAAAGAAACACAATCTTGAAAATAATGAATGGCTCTCCGAGTTGTATAGAATTCGTGATAAATGGGCAAGGTGCATGATGAAAGAAAGATGGACCGCGGGAATGCGAAGTACCCAACTTAGCGAAAGCCTAAATACAGCAATTAAAAATCATTTGAAACTGGATCATGATCTTGTGCAATTCTTTAGACATTTCAATCGGGTGGTTGATGAAAAGAGACATAATGAACTGATCGCAGAATATGAAATGAGGCAAAAACTCCCCATGGTCAGGTTAAGGCAAACACCTATGCTTGTGCATGCATCAGAGACGTATTCACCAACCGTATTTGTTGCATTCAAAAATGAATATGGCGAGTCAACAGTTATGGTTATATTGAGACAACAAGATGCAGCGATGATTGTGGAGTTTGCAATCATGAGCTATGATGGAGGATCTGAAAAAATAGTGGTATTCAATCGGAATGATCTAAGTGTACGTTGTAGTTGCAAAAAATATGAGAATGAAGGCATTTTATGTGGGCACGCGTTGAAGGTGTTTGATACTGTCGGCATAAAAATAATTCCTCCTGAATACATTAAGAGGCGATGGACAAAAAGAGCTCGGGCTGGAGACTGTTTTGATCGGCGAAGACGGGAAGTTGTGGCTGATCCTAAAATAATGATTTCAACTCGTTATCGAGAGCTCGCTCCAGCCATGATTAAGGTCGCAACTCGAGCAGCAATGTCGGAGGACACCAGCAAAGTAGCAATCACTGTCATATCCGATTTGACAAAGAGAGTTGAGCTCCTCCTCTCAGAAAGCGAAGAGCAACCTTTGCAAAATCAAAAAAATCTGAATATGGAGGAACGGGATAAAATTGAAATTGTGAATGAAATGGGGGAGGCAGTAGTCGCAAGAGGCATTAAAAAACGAGACGGTGGGAAGAAAAGTAGAGTGATGCGAAGTTGGATCGATAAATTTGACAGAATAAAAAGAAAATCTAGATTATCAAGGACTACACAGACTACGGTATGGATCAATTTTGGTACTTGGAAAATATTTATGCTAAAACTAAGTTATTGTTATACTATTAACTAAAGTTTAGGTACCATTCATTATGAAATAATATTATTGCCATGTCAATACTGTAGGTCTCAGAATCGGAGCCGACATCGATTTCATTTGAGGAATAGATGTTTATGGGATGCCGTTCATCTACTGACTCTGTTTCGGTTAGTATAAAATGGACATGACTCTTGCTTTTATTTGGATGTTTCTAATAGCATAAGTAGTTACATTGATGTTACATTGTGTGATAATGTTGTTACGGCCGTCATCTCTCCTGATATATCTATTTTGTTTGTCTTATACAATGATTTGGCCCATACGAAACTCGTAGACGCATTCAATGAGTCAGACAGTGAATGGCCCTTCAAACGTTGTTGCTCTCGATATCGATGAAAGTGAAACGGTATGCATACATTTAGTAGTTAAAATAAAGACCTTCTTGTTCGTGTAGTAGAGCTACCTTTTTTTCTTTAATTATAATGGTGGGCACTCGAACGCTGTCAAATCATGCAAAATTATGTAGTTAACGTATGCTCGCTTTAATAACATATTCATTTTTATTATTCAAAGGTCCACCATTTGGCTAATCAGGGGCCTCCTGCAAGTGTCCCCAACAGAATGGATGCATCCCAAATTTTCTATTTTTTTCAAGCATAACTCCATCAGAGATGTCTTAATGGTCTGATATATCATTTTTGTTATAATATCTAGTCCAATTTAATTTTATAAGTGAGCAATATAGGCATTGGCAATGATTTGTTGACAGTCGATTACTTATACTATGTAATGTAGGAGGAGCGTGCGGCAATTTCAATACACTGTAATGTTGATACATATTATATATTTGCACCATCACCCCAGGTGACAAACTTTTATCGTTACAGCACATATTTATGTAATGTTGTTAATTGGAGACTTGGACATCGTATATCATTAATCGTATGTTTCATTAATAATATTTAGTGATTTGCCATCGTTACGCATTTCAGGAAAGATATAACACCCAGAGATTGCAACTACATGTTGACGTCACTTCCCCTGAAAATAAGGTTGATGAATGATGTGTAACTATACTTTTTGAATAAGACATTAAGTGGTTGTCCCAACCTTGGAATGCTGCATATATACGTTACAAGCAGTTAATAAGCTGTTACAACTTGTTGATGAGGTTGTACAGGCACCATTGATGTTTCACTCTTTTCAAATTTAGACAAGTGGATTACAATTGTAATCGCATCTAGTGTTAATAGTCATCAATAGTTTGTATTGGGTTGTATAAAATTGTTAGTAAATTATAAAGTTGATAGAAAATTGAAGTAACAATTTTACAATAGAATTGAACGTGTTTTTTATGATCGGATATTTTTCACTAAATCGACCATAACAGTTAAATGGCTGTCGTGATATGTATACCATTGTACTACATTCAATTGCATACCTTAATAACAAATTTATTGGCATAGATCGCATCGCCAAAGGTATGATGTATAAGATAACACAATCTAAAGTATAAATTGTCTTGATTTTGTTACGATGCTAAATTTGAATTATTGTTGGGATATTTTTATAAAAACATTATCATTTAGGTCATTAGTTCTGCATCGCTTGACGAAATTAGCGCACCATTGACATGATATATCACAGGCACATCAATTGGTATTACAAGTTTTTAGGTTAATTGAATTATGGTCAAACCAGGTCACGACCACATGTTGGTAATAGGTGCGCATAAGAAAATGATTCCTTGGAGAACTAATTTGTAACGTTAAAATGATGTTTTACAATGCAATAAAAAGGAAGAACGAACAGTACACAATGGGTTACAACTAGTTAGGGATATGTTACTATTGCGTTACAACTAGTTACGACTGTTTAACGGGCATGATTAATATCCAAATATGGTAAGCAATTTGTTTGAGTAGAGATTATAATGAGTATAGTTTTATCGCTACCCTGACGAACATTGGACTACATCCCTTGTTATCAGTTGTATCCCATACAACATCTGGGAACGCCGTCATGCATTAGACAATGAGGTATGTACCTTTGAAAGTTATCGTCGCTTGATTCAGTAAAGTCAGATAGATTCGGGTCGGATATAAGCATGGGATCTGCTAAAATGTGCTGAACATCAAAATGTTTTCCAACACATGTCTTTTTGCGGCTTGAATCTCGTGGAACCTGTGAAACCTACGCTCCATCTGCATAACTCCTCGTTGTAGTCTATGTAATATGCTTGCATCATTGGCTTGTGGTCTTATAACAAGATCCGCTGACCTTGTTCTCGGGACGCGGAGGCCATGCCAACGACAAAATACCTCTAATTCCATTCTTCGCTCACGAGCAGGCTCTTATATGGGTTCATGGTCCATAACAAAATAATCAGACGGTAGATGATCGTTAACGGTATTTTTAAAAATATGACCAACTAGTCCCAGAGAGTTGTTGGTGTTAAGTGGAGCGTTTCTGAACTCGCGTTTGATACCATATAAAATCCTCCCGTCAGGTGTTTCGTACTTGCTTTTGGCATTTGTTGGACCCAACGATACTTCCCGTCTTTTTTGCCGAACATTTGATGGTGAGCTTGTATGAGATCCTTCATTTGTGGATTGCATGACTATGCTAATACCCACTGTTTTTTGGTTGAATGAAAGGAATGATCTACTGATAAAGAATTAGGTGGGAGAAAAAAAGAGGTAGAAATTTTTAACAGAGCACCTGTTTCAGACCATGCATAGTAAATGGTTTCTTCTGGTAACTTGACCAACTGTTTGCTGTGTCATTTTATGCTATTCTCCACGGGATAGTACCCCTGGGTGAGTAGATGAAGGCATGACAACCACCTATTAACGAGAGAATAGACTCAACGTTTGGTCAAATGTATAGTGTGTTGATGAAATAATGATTCAATTCGATTGGGTCATGACCTGTACTCCAACAACAATTGGATCAGGTGAATACCCAGTTATACGTCAGTCAACTTACTTTTCATATGTGACAAGAAGTTACAACCAGCATATGTGCGTTACAAGAAGTTAATAAGCTGTTACCGCTTATTGATGTGCTTGTACAGGCACCTTGTCATTTGCCTGTATGTTAAAACTTAGACAATTTGTTTACAATTGTATTAACGATAAGTATTACAGATAGTATTACAGACACTTCAATTGGTATCACTCCTTCAGTACAGAAATGAAGTTAAAATTGGCGGCTCGGCTTGGTTCCACATGACCACATAATAAGTAACAGTTTCGCAGAAAAACATGATACTTCGTTGGGACAAGTAATTTGAAAGTAGGGTAACTAATATTTAAAACACAACAAATTTTGATTACGCCATGTACATATTGAGTTACAGCCAGTTATGTATATGTTACAATTCATTACAACTAATGAATTTGCAATCGGCAGTTATTCGGCTTATCTAGTTAAAACTAGTGATATTACAACTAGAAATTCCCTGATATTACAACTAGTGATACTATAACTAGTTAATATCTGATGAACCTTTCCTCTTCTCTTGTTTGTGCAATTGCACTTGGCACAAACAATAAGTCCTCCGCCCAACACATAAAATTTCTTAGACACTTTTGTAAGTATCTAATGAGAACATAGAGATGGTCGATTCGAACCCCAAAATAATTGATGTAGCGAGGCCTTCTCGAACATCTCATTAAATTAGCGAGACCTTCTCGAACATCATGCAACCTATTGGCTGCTATATGGCACCCAAGAACTTGATTTCTGTGTGAACCCTGTATTGATGACACTGCAATTGAAGTTAGAAGAGGGTTGAAGAATACTAATAATAAATTTCAGGCACGGGTTCATTGCCACCCTTCAATAGAATGAAATGGGAAGTGTGAAGTTATTTAAAATGGAAAATATTTGTGCAGTAATGAAAGGTGGACGGAAAAATTTTTGTTGTTGAGAGATATACTACTACAACCACGCCCTTTTATAGTCCGCAGGACCCTCACACTGTGCTAAAATATCACTGGACAACTCATTCCAGGCCAAACAATTTTATCATGGTAGTGAAAGCTATAAAGTTCGATGCATGCCATTAAATTGTGTCAAATCTGTTCAGACAATAAAACAAATTATGCAGCTTTTGTCATGAAATGACCTGTACACCAATATTAAGGGTCACGTGGATAAAGCGTTACACATCAGTGACCTGTACGTTTCACTATGTATAGATTGTGTTACAACCAGTTAGGTGTATGTTGCAAATTCATTATAACAAATGAATTTGCAATCAGCAACTATTCGTACGAAGCGTCAGATTTGTAGTACCGACAGTGAATATAGGTGCTACGTGCTATTGCTAATTGTTTACAGATTTCAACACATGTTTTCACAACTTTTATCATCTAAGGACCTGTACTCCAATGTTAGGGGTCACGTCTATACAAAATTACACATTATTGACGATAAATTTTACTAATACCTTACACAATAACGCTCTAAATACACTATTTACACTTTACTTTCTTCTATTTGTTGGGTGGCCCAACATTTTCATTATTGTAAATAAGAACACACAAGTCTGTAAATAAGAATGCACGATTTGTGACTAGTTCAATAAATAAACAATTCGTGTATTAGGTTCGTCAAAATGTTGTTTGTCACGGCTGTGGAATCTATAGAGTCACATGCACCTGGTGAACTATGTCAATTCAGTGCAGACAATACTTTTAATTTTGCTGTTTTTATCATGAAATGACCTGTACACCAACATTTAGTGTCACGTGGATATAGAGTTACACACCAGTAGGGAGTACG